GAGTCATTTTTGTGTTCCCCTCTCTGTCATGTGGATGGAGGACCTCAGTGACGAGAAGAGAATGTGTAGCGCTGAGCTAATACATATTTATGATGATAGTGTCAGGGCTAATGCTAAAGCTAACAGGGTAAGCTGAGGTTCTCCTTCCATGAAGCAGCTCTGTTGTCCTCCATCCATATCTTCAGTTACAGACTGAGTCGTTTCTACCTTCTCCTCCCTGTCAACACTCTCTGGTTTATTTTAAAAGAGTTGATTGTTAGATATTGTCCAAGATTAACCTTCAGGGTGGATATAGCTCGCTAGCAGCCTTGCACCAAGGACCTATCCATGTCATCATTTACCCAGAATGCTTTGTGTGTAAATAAAATGGCCCCGTCCGTGTAATATACTTTTAAACTTTTAATTTAAAAATGATAAAAACTGAACATCTTACAGTATTTTTACAGTCTTTATTTTATAGTTAAAATAAATGTTCATTAAATAAAGTCTAATGTTACAAGTAGTCATGGATCTCTTTAATAACCATAAACTGCTGATCGTCAGAGGAGAATAGAATCAAGGTATGAGATCTTTCTCACCTCCCGTTCCGTGTTCAGAGCCCTCTCGGAGCTCWTGGTTTTGAGACTGCTCCGCAGATCGAGGCTGCTGGGAGGTGGCGGGGGCTTCTGACCCGTGTTTGACCAGCCTGAGAGGCAGTGCTGCAAGAAGACAGATCAATGATGGGCTAACATGGAGGCTGCAGTCAAATAATCCTTTTTGCTAAACAAGGTTTCTGAAAAAAGGGGATCTAAGTGGCAGCTAGAATAGGAGCTGTCTGGATTATAGGATGTCTCAGAGCTTTTTTCCCTCTTATCTTCTTCCACAAAGGAAACATCTGACCGTCTTTGAAGAAAAGAATAAGATTCTTTGCGCGCCCTCTGCTCCAACTACTTGCCAACAAAGCAACAATTATCTTTATGCAGTCATTAAYTATTTTTTAAACATAATCTTTAAGCTTTTTTTTTCTTTCTGACTAAAAGCTTCAGTTTTTTCTTTAGCTTAGGCTTCTATCTTAGTAAAGTTATTTTTTCTAGCAGAGTTGTCTGCATATATTTGTCTTGCATGAGGAGTGAAAGTTGTCAAAAAAACCCCGAGAAGTCCAGTTTCCTCCTATTTAACCACGTTCCCCCTCAGACCCAGCAGGGTGCGGGCGGTGGGTGGGGTTAACGTCTGAACTTCATCATTATAAAAAAATGTTAAAAGAATGGTACAACTGTAAATTCGTGCAGCAGCAAAATGATTTTATGGTATTTCTAGCTCACCGATGGTAACCCCAAACTGTCAGAAGGGTCAAAGCTGCACCGCCGATGAGGTTTGTGTTTGTAAGGTGGCAAGATGGCGGCACGAGGAATGCTGACCCTTCAAAGGAAGACAATAAGAAAAAAAATCTGACATGGAATAAAATAAAAATAAAAATAACTCACTATGATACGTTTTGTTATACGTGTTTTCAGAAGAATCCTACAAAGTGTGCTTCATCAGTACCTGATAAGAGCTGGCTCAGCAGCAGTGTGCGGGTGGGAGGATTTGGGCCTTTGGCACACTGAGCAGCACTCCTGAGAGTGAAGTGGGACAGGAAACAGTCTGCTGTTAATCCTGTAAGAGAATGTGCCTGGACAAAAGGTGAGCAAGCAGAGTCGAGCRTTAGCTCAGCTGTAACAGAGACGGAAGAGAGAGCAGACTAATGAAAAAAAACACGATCCCTCTCACACTGATGAGAGCTCGCGGTCGCTTCCTGATCCTCCTCGTCTGGTAGGAGAGGTGTAGCCACAGGTCTCCCTTCAAATAATCTAAAAACGAAATCAATACAGAGTCAGAAAATAGAGCCTTTATTAGAAATATGTTAACGATCAGAAACAAGGATGATAACAAAAACACTCACTCTGCTCGCGAGTCATGGACACACTCGTTTTTATTGCGCGATCGAAACTCACATAGCTCATTAAAGAACTCGTCAGATCGCTCGATTACCGAGTCCTCGGCATCCAGAACTCCTTACAAGATAAAAGCAGAAACAGCAGTCAGTCATCTGTAAACAACTATGTGTAAGAGATAAACAAATGAGGTGTACCTGCTATCCAGTCATATCCGAGTAAAGGCTGTAAACGACGACGAGGTGAGGCTGGACTGTCTACATCTTCATCAGACTGAAACGTGACTCGGCTATTGGCGTCCCGCTAGAAAAAGAAAGTGTGCGATGTGTTAGTAGTCACTGTGTTAAAACTGTGTCATTTCTACAAAATAGTTCTCTTTGGTTTCAGCTGTGACTAACTTGACATGACTTGGTAGCTATTGGCCTGGCGTCTTGTAGTTGATTGCCAACGTCTAGTTTACGGTAACTGTCATTCAAAAGGTCTGACTGTGTTGTGGGTTCAGCAGATACTCCTTTTTGTTTGGAGGTCCCAGATGGTGTGGAAACTATGGGCTGGATGCTTCTGGGCAGCTCCAGGRAATCTGATTTAAAAAACACAAAGGAAAAGCTTTGCTCACATTAATTACAGTTCACACATCTGTATGCTGTTCCAGTTAAAATTTAGAATTTTTTAGATGTTACGATACTTTAATTTCAGGGTTTAGGGTTTTAGGTAGACCTGAACTAATATGGGTATTTCAAAGTATATTACACCTTTTTATTCTAATTTTAAAAATGCCATTGATATATTAAAATGTTTACTTTGAATAGATGGGGGAAAGGAAGAGAAATAGTGACCAAAACACTGGATATATTCAGAGATCAATAATGAGGTTAACAATATCAAATGGTGCACTAGTTTTCCAGATACACATGCAATTCGTTTTTTTAAAGCCACTTCAGCAGAAAGAAGAACTGAATATTAGTTTGTTAAATTTCTTTATCATCAGTGACTTTTTCTAAAGAAGAAAAGAAAGAGAAGAAAAAAGTGAAATGTAATGGGAAAGAGTGAAAGAGAGATTAGAAGATACAGTATGTGAAATATATATCGAGAAGACGCAAGGCAATACACCCGGCATCTTGGCTGCACACCTACAGAAACAGAGATAACAACAACAACAAAATAAAAAATGCATATGTATATAATTATAATGATTATAACCCTGCTGAAAGGTGCACACACACACACACACACACACACACACACACACACATTTTATATATACACTTATGCACATTCTGGTCAAACAGTAACCAACCAGAAAACCCAGGATTTAAACACTTGTTTGTGAGCATGCACACAAAATCTCTCCAATGACACGTGCAATTCTGAAATGCAGTGTAAACAAAGCACTCAGAATCTGACAAAAAAAAAAAAAAAAAAAAAAAC